ACAATCTATAATTATTTTAACGTGACTGTTTTCATATACCACTCACCTTTTCCTTGAATGAAGAAACATATTGGTGAAGGATACTTTTTATACCTTAAGGCTAAGAATTACAGAGTAGACCCATTCAAAACATGATATTCTGCAAACTGTTGTTTTATTTAAAAAGTATGTAGTCTTCAAAGAAAATATAAGGTGAAAATATAAAAGGTAAGAGAAAGTAACGTCTCATCAACATTTTCTTTAAGACAAGAGCAAAGTCTCATATGCTTTGCTGGCTCTTTTTACTCAGTAGTTCCTGACCTCTTCATAGGTACCAGATTTTAGGAATCAATACACTCTCTGAGGTCTCTAAGTTTACACCCCCACAAATGCTCAGAGGTTCTTTCTGTGGCATTTGTTTGTCTACTGATAATCTGATCCTCAAAATAAAACTGAAGAAGGAAGTAATAATTCATTAAAGAAAATTCATTGCTACTAATGCTCATCTTGTAAATCTGATAAAAAAAAACTGATGATGAGTGAATTTATAACATTCAGGCAGATAGATGAACTCAATCTCCTAGTAAGTGTTTTTTAATCACAGTTGCCTATGAATATGTGTTTAATGCATAAAGCCTTAAATTTGGTTGTTATTGTTTTAGAATTGTCACTACCTTAATGTGAAAACATCTATTTAAGTCATCCTAGTAAAGGGAAAATGTATTTTGTTTAGGATTTTTTTACATATAAATGCAGCGACTATGGATTTAAATTTTTTTGTTTCTGTGAAAATATATGTTAATCTAGGTAAAAATTATCTACAGAAAAATTGAGCACACAATTGTTTTTCATATACAAAAATGGTTTTCCTCCCAAAATTTAGCCATCTGAATTGTCTAAAGATTATTCATAAAAACTGAAATCCCATGACTAAAAAGAGGCTACTATTCTTTTAAAGATATATATATATATATTATTCTACTTTATAGAAGTAGCCAAAAATGTATGTACACTTTAGAAAAGAAAAACATATATAAGTATTGTAATACTTTTGTGTATTGGGTACCTTAAGGGCTGTCATAAAAGCTCTTGGAGAAGAAATTGCAAATGCATATATAGCAGTCTCAATGGCCATTTTAATCAAAGGTACCAAAGCAGCAGTTTGCCATTCTAATAAGTGTCTGGAAAATGTCCACCACTTTGAGCACTAGTTGCAATTGTAGAGGTCAAAGGGAACTTGTATTAGTTTCATGGTGTCTCAACAAATTTAGAATTAAAATATTTATGTAAGTTTTTCTTTTCCTGACATGTATACATGTTTTTGGCAGACTCTGTACATAAGAACTACAGTGTATTGCATGGGAGTATAGAATAATATATACTTTATATAATAAATAATATATAATATATATTTGTATATTATATATTGTATATATGTATATATATCTTAGTATTGGACTGTTTCATGATAATCATCCACTATATTTGTAATTAGAGAAAAAGATATCATAAAGTCAGTGAAATGCTTATGAAGGAAAGACTTTGTGTTAATTGTCTATAAAGATATCTGATAACTTCATTTTTAAAATGAAAAAATCATATATGATTTTAAATTTGTGAAAAATATTGAAAATAGAAAAAGGGAAAAAAATCACTTCTAAATGCACAATACTAGCACAACCATTGCTGCTGATGATGTAATTCTTTACTTTTTTTCTACATATTGGTGTAGCTGTTTTTCAAATTAGATAGCATCATTTCTAATTATATCTCACTGCAAGCATATTAATGTTTTCTTTATAGGTTTTTAGTTGTATATGCTTTCCCAGATGGACTAGTACAATTATGAAATGAGATAACCTTTTGCATCACCCAGAAATATCAAAACTTGTATATATCTCTTAGTAAGTAAAGTACGTAGGTTAGAAAATTGTAGACTCGGTCATAGTAACAATAACAATCCTGACTTTATTGGTACTTGTCCCTATTTCTCATGGAGAATTGTAATCTACTTTCTCTAATAATGCAGGGGGCAGGATTTTGGCTAAATTTCACATATACTGTGAGGAAAACCAGTTAATTTTATGCTGTTAGTATTTTAATTCCTCTTTGCTGCTCTACCCTTCCAATGCTGGATTGTTACTCTGTGCTATGCCACGAGTAACAATCTATGCTAGACATTGCAGAGTCTCCAGGATTGCAGCCTCTTGAGGATGCTGCCATGAGGGTCCTGAAATCTTAGACACCAAGGATGCGTGAATGTCTCCTTTTTGTCTCTTTACACAGTTTCTCCAGCATTAGCATCGCTGTCTTAGAGAATGTTCAATGAAATAGCTCTTTAGAAATGTACTTTAAATGTTGTTACTAAAATGTAGTTCTTGGATAGGTAGCATTTAGCAGAATTAATAGAAATGCAGAAGCACAGATTCCACTCAAGAGAAACTAAAATGTTAGGAAATCTTGGGTGATTTGTATGCAAATTATGGCTTGAGAAACAGTTTTAAAACACTTCTCTTTTCCTAAAACTTGCACATAAATTCAATCTGGGATAAGGACTGTGTTAGATCAGGAAGAAAAGTAATAGCCCATTTTATGTGCATCCCTTCCTGTTGATGCCCTTATCTTTGTGACTATTTTAAGCTTTAATGCATGACTCCTTCCTTAGGAAGATCTCCCCCACTTGGCTGCAGCTCCACACTGTGTTTCACGAAGAGACTTCTGAAGACCTGTTCTTTGTAGTTCAGTTCAAACTGAGTTAGTTCAAGAGACCCACCAGATTTGTGGGAAATTTGGTGCTTTACTTGTGAGCACATTCATAACCCCCACTATTTGCTTTCTTTTCTGTTTTTTTTTTTCTTTTGAAACTCCCCAAACCTTAGTCCATTTGGGGGGGGTGTTGTAATTTATTTTAAAGAGAATAAAACCAAGCAAAATTATTTTAAAGAGAATAAAACCAAGCAAAACAAAGCAGAATAAAGCCAATCAAAACAAAACAGTTTAAGTGCCACAGGACTTCAGAACAAGATAATAGAAGATCAACAATGGTTACCATTATGCTTTTCATTGTCTTCAAAATAGCTACCCATACCTTCAGACATAGTAAAAATCAAACAAAACAGAGAAGAATAGAACCAATAAAAACAAAACAATGAACACAATAAAGGACTTCAAAACAAAATAATAATTAAATCCAAAATGACTACTACAATATATCATTTTATTTTTGAAGTAGCTGCCCAAGTCATTAGACATAATAAAATCAAACAAGACAAAACAGAATAAAACTCAACCCAACCAAACAATGAAAATGACAGAGGACTTCAAAACAAGATAATAGGGAATTAACCATGGCTACCACCTTCAGAAGGAGATCCCTCACAGATGCTACGTGGTGTATTATCCTCTGAACAGATGATCAGACTACCAGCTTGAGGCCTGCAAAGGCAGTGAAAGCCCTGCAAGCATTAAGTTTATTTTCTTCAATAGCCTGTGTTTCTCTGGATCAGGGGTCACTTGGATGGGGGGAGGGGGACTTTGGCTCTTCTTGTCTCTCAACCCATGTGCTGGAAGCAGCTGGCATCTGTTTCTCCTCCCAGTGGCCTACACTTGGTGCTGACTCACAGGGCTGGTTTGGCTTCTTGTTGGCCTCTTGTTCTCCTCCCCTACAGTCTGAAAATGGTGCCAACTCATGGGAAAGGACTGGTGTCTGGTTTTCCCACAGAAGCCCATTCATGGTGCCAACTTGCAGGGAGGCCTTCCTAAATCTAGTCTTGAAAACTCTTATTTTACGGCCTATAGTTTAGACACTTAGCAGTTAGACCTCAAAATAGCGAGTGAACATTGGCCAAATCCGCAAAAGCCTCTTCCTCCCCCTTAAACTATAGAAAGGGAAACAAATGGGTTTATCTCAAGGCACCAAACTGCCTGATCCTCATATTCTGCGTGTCATTTAACCAGATGTGTAAGATGGTATTGTAACATTCCAAAGCAATGACAGTGCTGCCAAAGGTGGCATCCATAGGAACCCCCTGACCTTGTGAACTCATACAGGGGTGTATATCAGAAGGGAACCAAGGAATTAAGGTCAGCTAGCTAACAGCCCATAGTTTCAGTGGCCAAAGATGCCTCTGACTGCTGTAGTTTTGAAATAAACTTCATTTGTTTCTGAAATCCTGGTGTCCTGTGGGTAACATTTTTGAGCATGCCATGACGTACAATCAAAATACATTTTTATTTAATTGGCAGTGATTCAGTTCACATTATCCACAAGCATCCTAACATGGAATACAAGTAAAACCATCCCTACTGTCTAAGGAGGCAAATGAAAGGCATATGTGGGACATATAGGAACCTCTGGGAAAGGGTTTGAGGAAGGAGCCCAAATCTCAGCTGGGACAGATTGGCTGGAATCAAGGGAAAGCACACCTTCTCTTGCATTTGCAGTTCCCAGGGCCAGTCGCCAGGTGAAATGCCTTCCTCATCTCCAATTCTTCACCTTCATCCCACCTTTCCTTCCAAGGCCAATTTAAAGTGCCAATTTATCAATGCAATTTGCCTTAATTCCCTCAGCTACTATGATTTTGGTAATTTAAAATCTTTCCTACTTCCTTAAGATGCTTTGTGTGTACTGGGGTCTCAAAAGAGAGAGGAGGTCTCTCATAGAGTGTACTTCAGCCAGTTTTCTTAAGTTCACCACAGAGTCTAACATGCTGTGCCATAATTTTTTAAGAAAGGGGAAAACTACAGTCAATACTGTGTATCCACTGTCTTAATGCTTTACTATTTAGTAATCTATTTCAGATTTTTCAGATCATCACTGGAGAGAACATGAGCAGGAACACTGAATATTGTTCTGAACTGTTAGCAAGATCAAACCCTAGTCCTTTTATCTAGAATCCTTTTCAGCTGTAGAGTTGATTTTCTAATGCAGAAACAATGTCATCTTCTATAGCTTAGTACTTGTTAATCTCAGGTGGGTGGGATTTCATCTCTTTATAAAAAAGGGACTGGTGATACTACTATTAGTCTTTAAGAAATTCTCTACGTAAGTGGGTAGCAGATATCATGGCTGCCTCTCCTAAAGATGAGATGGAATATGACGAGGACCTGGGACCCATTTCTGAAGAATGTACAACTGCTATTAACAATGTAATACCTTACCAGATGTTTGTCAGTGATGTGTACTTATTCATGGTTAGTATGAATTCTGGAGTAAATTTGAGGGGTTATTTACCTCTGATGAATGTGTTGTTGTATTTACTGTCTCCTTAGCAATGGTTATGGCTGCCTCTGAGGTCTGCTTCTAAGTACAACAGCAATTCATTAGCTAGGGTATTGTCAGTCTGTGGCAAAATGATTTAGAATTGTGATGGCATATTATAAACTACAGTAAATAGAATTACATTTCTCTAGTGAATTCCAAAAATTATATGGCAATCAAACAGTAGTGGCAAGCAGAATTTATAAAACTACACCTATAGGCCATATTATATAGAAAGCAGATGTGTGAGGTTTACTGAAATACATTGGCTTTTAAGTTTTATTTAATTTAGAATGTGCTTGTCTCATGGATCTATATAATAAAGTGCTAGCACATATATTAACAAATATGACTTTCAAGAAGGTCACAATATGCAAACATTAGACACTGGAATGTTAGAATCTGGATGGCTGCTCTTTAAGGTAATCTACAGTCAAGAAGACAGCCAAAGTCTTTTAGTTGTCAAGGGACAAAAAGAATTCCCAGAATGACAAGGTCTCTCATGGAGTGAGATAGCAAAGAAAACTGATGTGAGATTTCTATGTCAAAAATAAACCTCTCTCACTCTATTTTTCTGTCACTCTCACCTATCTCAGGCCTGCTCTTACAATGAAGAGGAGGAAATACCTAATTTTGTTGTGTTCTTTGAGGACCAGGCTGAAGTAAGGAGGTACCAAGCAAAACGATTCCTAAGATATCTAAGAAACCGGAAGAGTCTTATCTGCCTTCCAGTTATTCAGGTGACTATAATGTGATCTATGGGCCTTTGCCAAACCTAGAAAATAATCAGTGTCTACCTAGTTTGTGAGGAAAGTCATGGTCATACATGCATTCCTTAGCAACAGCACTTAAGCACAAGCATGGGTCAAATATCTTTCTAGGTAAAGTTTAGCCACTAAAATACATACTTCCCTTTTCTCAATGGGATACAGACTTGTATTGATCAGCAGAATCACTACTTGGGGATCATGAGGAATGCAAATTCATGGGTATCACTCCAGGCTTAAAGGATGAGATCCTCTGTGGGTGGGGCCCAGGTAGCTGGGACTCTGGGTGAGGTTAATGTTTCGTGCAGCTTGAGAAGCACGATTCACATAATTTCTTCTCAGAGCTTTCAGCACCCATTTCAAATCACTGACTTAGTCCAGGTATAAGTTCTAGTACTTAATAAACCTCTCACTTCAATGTCCTGAAAAAAACTTCATGACTGGGCCGATACTCTGAAGAATCAATCTGAATCTCAGCAGGGAAAATTAAGTCCAGAACACCCCTCCATATAGTTTGAGAGCTCTACTTTTATCAGAAATTATACTTGCTAATAACAGAATTAAACCACCACAGAACCTCAAAAGCAACTAATATATAATTATTAAAATGTAATAATATAATAATATATTTCTAAGGTGCCTTTGCTTTGTAGTACTTAATCACCTGTGGATCTTTAAAAATCTTGATACTCAGGTCACAGGCTATCTAAAGTAGTTCAGAGTCTGCAATTGAGCCTGACATCAGTATTTAAGATTCCTAGCTAATTGTTAAGTACTGCAAAGTTTGAAAACCATTGGGCTGAGGAGACCTACTCACATCCTAATAGAAGCAGAATGTAACAACATAGAAATTGAATTTTCTTGTCCTCTCCAATAGATGCCTGATGTAGATCAATGGGAAAACGATGAACAAGCCCTTAAATCTGCTCTGAAGGTAGAAATTGAATTCACAAAGATCCTGGAAGACCTGCAGACTGCGGCTTCTGAGGCTGTAGATACCCATGTAAGTGGTTACCTTGGTTTGACAAGCAGGTTCATTTCTGACTTTTGAATTGTAACTTGCTCCTGGGAAATGGGTCCTGATTGGTAAATTATCCAATATGAGCCTATTTTTCTCAGTATGGGAGACATTTCTAAGTCTTTCCTAACAAACTAGGTAGACACTGATTATTTTCTAGGTTTGGCAAAGGCCCATAGATCACATTATAGTCACCTGAGTAACGGGAAGGCAGATAATACTAAAGTATGGGAACATTTCTAAGAATGGATTTGGGTAGAGAGTGAAGTACTAGAGATCTTGGTAAGGAAAAATGTACCTCAATGCAGGATAGGAAAATCTTCCCAGGAGTAATGTGTCCTGAAAGATTGAATGAAATAGTTCTATTGCAGAGCTGGAAATCTCCTTGGCCAGAAATGTTTAAGCACAATGTGCACCAGAATCATTTGAAGAGCTTGCTACAACAAACTACTAGGATCTGCCTTCAGAAGTTTGATGCAGTTGATTTTGTACAGGAACCAAGATTTGCAATTTTATAAGGTCCAATGTAACGATGCTACTACTTGGAGCCACAGTTTGAGATCCATGGTCCTACACTATGACAGCAAAACTGGGTGTTAATGGTCACCTACTCTACTACAGACTGCTGTGCAGTCTTCCTGGTTATTGGTGAACATTCAAGCTGAAAGCGCTAAGAAGTCAAAGTGAAGAAATCACCCTGCTGGAAAAGTTCTCAACCCAGTTAGTCATCAGGGAGCTCTGAAATGATACACAGGTCTAGGCTTTAGGCCAGATCACTCGTACCTAAATCTTTGAAAATAATATATGGCAACTCCGCCAAAAACAAACAAACAAGTCCAAAATACTGAAACAATTTTTAAGCAATTGTAGTGACAGCTTGCTTCTCGAAGTAAACAATGCTTTTGATGAAATACCCTAACATTCACTTGAAAGTGAATGCTTGTGTTCCCCGACAGGTCTTGAGTTCTTGCAACTCAATATGGATATGAATCCCCTCGTTCTGTTTTAAATGCAGATGGTGATTTAGTAGGGGTAGAACTAGAGCTTCTGTAATCTCTGTGACATGTTCTCAGGACTGCTAGTTATTGGGCTGTAGTGTGGACAATCTGTCTCTCCTTAAAGACTTGGTCCTCAATGTGAATCTTTTCCTATTTTATTTTTGTAGCTCTTAACATTTGTGGAAGGCTACCTGACTAGACAGCAAAGGAACATAACTTATCTGCAACGTGAAATCACTTATCAGAAGCAATTAGAAGAGATGAGGGAGCAGGAGAGGCAGGAGCAGGAGAGGCAGGAGCAGGAGAGGCAGGAGCAGGAGAGGCAGGAGCAGGAGAGGCAGGAGCAGGAGAGGCAGGAGCAGGAGAGGCAGGAGCAGGAGAGGCAGGAGCAGGAGAGGAAGGAGCAGGCGCAGGAGAGGAAGGAGCAGAAGCAGGCGCAGGAGATGCAGGAGGTGGAGGAGCAGAAGCAGGCGCAGGAGATGCAGGAGGTGGAGGAGCAGAAGCAGGAGCAGGAGATGCAGGAGGTGGAGGAGCAGGAGCAGGAGCAGGAGATGCAGGAGGTGGAGGAGCAGGAGCAGGAGCAGGAGATGCAGGAGGTGGAGGAGCAGGAGCAGGAGCAGGAGGTGCAGGAGATGGAGGAGCAGAAGCAGGAGCAGGAGCAGGAGGTGCAGGAGATGGAGGAGCAGAAGCAGGAGCAGGAGGTGCAGGAGATGGAGGAGCAGAAGCAGGAGCAGGAGCAGGAGGTGCAGGAGATGGAGGAGCAGAAGCAGGAGCAGGAGCAGGAGGTGCAGGAGATGGAGGAGCAGAAGCAGGAGCAGGAGCAGGAGGTGCAGGAGATGGAGGAGCAGAAGCAGGAGCAGGAGCAGGAGGTGCAGGAGATGGAGGAGCAGAAGCAGGAGCAGGAGATGGAGGAGCAGGAGATGAAGGAGCAGAAGCAGGAGCAGGAGATGGAGGAGCAGGAGATGAAGGAGGAGGGGATGAAGCAGCAGGAGCAACAGGAGCAGGAACGGGAAATGAAGGAGCTGGAGCAGGAGCAGCAAGAGCAGAAGATGCAGGAGCAGGAGCAGGAGAGGAAGGAGCAGCAGGAAAGCTCTGGAAAGCCTGCTGGGGCTCTGGCATGAGCATCGCTGAAGAGACTTAACTTCCGAGGGCAGCATTAGACATGTTCCCATTGAAACTGGTATCAACATTGCATATTTAAAAAGCAATCATTTCCACCTGCCCCCAAACTGTTTTCTTTTCTACTTTCCTAACGTTCACTGCTGTGTGTGAAAATAAAGCTGTTTTGCATGATAACTATCTGTAGTGTTTATTGAACATGTATTTCCACTAGTACCAGGTTGGCGAAAGCTTCCTGAAGGAAAGTAGGTGGCACACTTAAAAAAAAAAATCTCCTACCTTTTTCTGTCTCTCAAAATAGATAGCAATTAATATTTTCTAAGTTTAACTAGCAGAAGTAACAATAATACAAATTAATTTGTGAAATCTTAAATTACAATGTGCTTGTTTGTGTATGTTTTTAGTTTACAAAGTATTGTTTGCTCCAATGAAATATAAAGCAAAATTAGAAAGTAGTGTTCTCGGCGTAGAAACAGTGACCTCCACCTGCAGGACGTAAAGTAAGTGTGCAGCTGTGTCCCAGGTGCCCTTCTACAGCTCCAGGTGGACGGAGACAAGATTACACAGAGAAATGCAGCTTGGTATGAGGGCCCCCTCCTGCCTCTACTGTGAGCCAGTTAACAAGCTTGAGTCATTACTTCACAGGAACCAATGAGCTTGCAAGCTCTTGTTAAACTTTTAAGAGCAAAATGTGGCAAGCAGGATCAGCAAAGAAATGAGAGCACTGCAGGAGTGTGTCCTCGCTCCAAACCTTACTAGCTCTGTGGCCTCGAATGAGGTTTTGCTTCTAAATTGCCTCTGTTTATCAATCTATAAAATGAGGCTACTAGAACTTCAGAAGTAACCATAAAATTCAATAATTTAATACATATTTTCATTGGCTATTATTCACACTTGTTTTTAGTAATAATGCAAATTAAAATTGAAGCAAAAACTTAGAAAAAAAGGCTTTAATTAAAAAGCAGGAGAAAATGGTAAAGGACTTTATTTTCAGCTGGCAAAGATCAGGCTTCCCTTAACACAGGAGAAATAGGAACTCCAGCCTGAGCCGCTGGAAGGGCCACACTCTGATGAGGAGGATCACACTGGCCTCGGAATACACAGAAGTGGCCAGTTTTCTGTGTAGCTGGTGGGCTGGGCTCTGGTTGATCATTACCTCAGTCCTGGTTTCCAAGCTCTGCAATCTAGATGGCTCAGGGGATGGTTTTGTTTTCTACAAAATGATTGTGTATTTGTAGGGACTCCAAATTGCATGAGGTTCTGCTTTTCCTGGAATCCAGGTGATCATGGGTTTAGGTACAAAGGCAAGAGGCTTCTGGGCATAGTTAGCTCCTCCATGTTTTGGTGTTCTCAGTCTGGAAGGGGGATGGATGAGATTGTGTAATTCCAAGGTTTATCAACTTTGTTTCACCAACTTTTAGAGAATTCCTAAATGATTAACATAATCATAGGCAGAACTGAGAAGGGATTTGATCCAAAGTTTTACTTTAACAAAAAATACAAAATGAAAGTCACGGTTCATTCTGCTTGTAGTTACCTATTGTGCCCAAGGGAAGAGTCATGTTTTTTTTAACACAAACATCTTTGAAGTAATTTACTATTCCAGAAGAAAACAAAAATTATGCTTTTAATGATTAACAGGGTATGGGTTGAGGAGTCTGCTCATTCCTCAATCTTAAACTAGTTTGTCTAGAACAGTGTCTGCCCATATTATTGGTTATTAGTTTATAGAATAGCGCTACTTCTTAAACCAGAGGAAAGTCAATACATAAGAGATACTTCCAGTAAGAAAACAGTCCACTGACATTAAGATATAATCTTAAAATGCTTATTATTATCTTTAGAAAGAAAGAAAATCTTGCTTTGAAATAAAAACAAGAATGAGCCTACTAGGCATCTTGAAAAAAACTGAAGTTAACAAATGGGCTGAATATTCAAGTATATATAGCAAATCCAATGGGCTAGAAGTAATATCAGAAATTCTTAGCCAAAGAAATTTATTGTACTTAAAGATTAAAAATGAAGTTCCAGCAAAATAAGTTACTTCCCGCACTGTGAATGTAAAAGCTTTCCATAAATGTCATAAATGTCATCACTTACAAAAAAAAAAAAAAACACAGAAAAGTGACACATTAGTATTAGTGTTCTCTTTCATATCAGCTTTCTCCTCAAAACTTGGTATAGAAAAGCATTTTCAAAATACTGAAGGCTAAAAATTGTTAACAGACAGCCAAATAAACCTATTCATATACAAAGATTAAAAGAGTTGACTGAAGATTGCAACATACACAAGAAATTCAGTACAAATAATACCAATTGTTTTTACAAGTCCAGGGTGGCCTACTGAGATGCAATACTTCCCATTTTTGTAATTCTAGTGGGTAATGGTGTGTCCCCAGGCAATAGTCAACTAGGTCTTGGACTTCAACTCCTTATTTATACTTTCTACAATGAATCACCCTTCCTGCGAATCACTGTCACCATGGGCTTGTTACCCTGAAACTGCTACTAATTTACAAAGCACACTGGAAAAAATGTCCCATTTTTTACTCATTAATAGTTTATATGAACTTCATACTAATAATATTATAAGCATTTATGTTAAAATGAGTAGTTGTACAATATTGCTTTATCCTCACTATTACTTAGTATTTTTCTGGAAGTTTCTAGGCAGAATTTTTCAACTATAATACTGTTGACATTCTGAGTCAAATGATGCTATTGTGAGGAGCTGTGCTGTGTGCTGTACAACATTTTGGCCATATCTCTTTCCTTTGCCTAGTAGGTGACAGTACCTCACCCAGTTGGGATGAACAAACCATCTCTCCAGTTGTCAAATGTCTCTTAAAGGCAAAAGGGAATGCTTGCAAACTATCTTGGAGAATGTAAATTAGTAGAGCCTTTATGGAAGTGCCTCCAAACAACCAGAAATAGAACTGCATATGATCCAGCAATTTCACTAGTAGATATACAACTCAAGGGAAATAAAATCAGTATGTCAGCAACAACAACAACAAACAACTGTGCTCCCTTGTTCCCTGACACACTTCTTACAATAGCCAAAAATATAAACAGCCTAACTCTTCATCAGATAATGAATGAGTAAAGATAAATGTGGTGTGTACACACACTGAAATACTGTTCAGTCATAAAAATGAATGAAATTTTATCCTTTGGGACAATATGGAAGGAACCAGAGATCATAGTAAAATAATCTAGGCACAGAAAGTCAAGTGCTGCATAATCCCACTCATGTGTAGATTCAAAAAACATTTGCTATTGTAGAAGTTGAGTTTAGAGCAGTGATTAACAGTGGCTAGAGAGAGTAAGCATGGGAGGGTTGGGGAAATATTGATCAATAGCTATTAAATTACAGTTAGATAGGAACAAGAAATTCTAATGTGTTATGACACTGTAAGTTGACTATGGATGGTACAAATGTATTATATAGTTCAAAAAGCAAAAATAAGACTGTTACTGTTTTCACCATAAAAAGATGCTAAAAAGATATATTTAACCTGATTTAAATATCATACAATATATACATATATATGACACACCATTGATATATACTATATTAATTTTATGTGTGAGTTTAAAATCAATTTTAAAAATTTGCATTTTACATGACTGCTTAAAATGCCATGGCATATGTTTAAAGTAAATGATTTTATCGTAAGAAAATTAGTTCGGAATGTATGTAAGTTAAATAAGTCAAAAACATTTCCTGAAAGAAGTAAAAGCTTTGTATAGCACAAAGAGAAGACAAAGGCTAAATATTGTGAAGATTATGATAATTCCAAATCAAAGAATAGAACTAAAACAACTTAAGTCATAATCTCAACAAGGTTTTGAGTGTTTTAGATATTTAGTACTACCTAAAAGAGTTAATATATTTCAGTTCTGGAAAAAGACATAGGTGCACACATAATAAAATATTTAACATTAATAGACACTGAGAAAATCAAACCAAAACTATAAACATATACCTCTATATACTCGCCAGAACAGCTAAAATGACTGCCAATATTTTATGGTAGCAAACTTCTGAAACAGTTCAGCCAATTACACATTGTTAGAATACAAAATGGTACAAGTATTTTGGAAGAAGGTATGGGATTTTCTTATAAATCTAAACATATACCTTCCTTATGAAAGATGAGTCCTTTCCAATATGAAAAGTGATAGCAGGTATTCATAAAATGATTTGCACAAGAGTATTCACAATAGTTTTATAACACACGTAAATAAATAAATAAAACCAGCCCATGTTCATCAACAGGAGAATGAATACACAAATTGTCATAGATGTATATAGTAGAGGACTCTACTCAGTTCAGAAAAAGCAAACTACAGATATGTACAATGGAAGAATATGAAAAGTGCAGAGTGAAAGAATCTTACAAAATTCAGTGAATGTTATATAGTTTCATTTACGTGAAATTCTAGTAATACAAAATTATCCTATAATATCAAAACGATAGTTATTTTGAGGATCCAAAGACTTTGAGTAGGGTTATGGGTGGATATTGTGAAGTGATAGTAAAGTATATCTCAATATAAGTCAAGTTACATACACTGACCATAACTCACTGAATGTACACATACTATTCTTTTTATCTTCTATAGATTTATGCCAATAAAAAACTATACACAATATTGAACTGAAATATTTGAGGATAAGTATTTGAGAAATAAATGATCTGATGGATTGATGAGTGATACAGCTAATCTAGTAATCACTATAATTAGTCGTGAAAGTATCAAATACCTCCACCCGTGGCTAGTATCAAATGACTGTATCAGTTATAACTTAGTCCTCATATTAGTCTGCTCATTGTACTGATAAGATATATAACTTCTCAACTTCACTAGTAATTAAGAAAAAAAATCAAACCACAATGAGATACCATCTCATATCCTTGAATGGTATTTATCAAAAAGACAAAAAATAAATGTTGACAAGAATGCAAACAGAGAAAGAGGAATCCTTATACACTGTAGGTAACAATGAAAATTAATATGGTAATATTGAAAAACAGTAAGAGTTCCTGAAAATACTGAAAATAGAACTACTTTATGGTTTTGTTATATACTACTAGGTATATAACAAAGGAAATTAATCACTCAATGAAAACGTGCATGTTCACATTTAATATTACACTGTTTAAAATAGC